ATATATATATATATATATATATATCTATCTATCTATCCGAATCGTCGATTTTCGGGCCGATCATCTTTCCCCGAAGCTTTATTAGCACTCGCTTCATATTCGTATTACACGGAACGAATAGTCACCGTACTCGATCATCCGTCGAGCGGTCTAAACGCTTTAACGGGCTGTGGGCAATTCGGTTATTACGCCCGACGTTGTAATCGAACGCAGCGGAGCGGGTTTACCCCTCACCCTCACCCTCACCCCCGGCCCACCCCCACACCCTAACTACACACCACCACCACCACCACCCTCATCACCACCAACCACCCCCATACCACCACCACCACCATCAACAGGACTACGTATTACTACCACTACCACCAGACTACTCGCGCAACTCCCGTTGTTTTCAATCGACGACGATTCTCCTCCCCCATACCCCTTTTAACTCCATCCCCCCCTAACCCTTCCTCCTTTTCCCACCATTCCCTTCTCTCTCTTTCTCTCTTTCTATCTATCCGAATGTCTGTCTATCTCGCTCAATCCTCAACCGTAGAACCCTCATCATTTTATCCTCGTTTATCCCAGCCGCCATTCGGCGCCGGTCGAGCGGTTAACGCATTGGCGTTAACGCGCTAATGCGATACGTACTTTATGAGAGAGAAAGAGAGAGAAAGAGAGAGAGAGAGAGAGAGAGGAACTCCTGTTCTCTTTCTCTTTCTACTTTTTGCCATGTCCTCCCCCCCTGAACCCGCTTCGTCCCGCCAGCCCCCTTCCTTCCTTCCCACTCTCTCTCTCTCTCTCTCTCACTCACTCTCCGTGCGACTAACGGAATAACGCGATTTCAACACCGCGTTTATATATATTTCCTCTTTCCAAGTCCGACCGCTGCTTTGAACTTTGCTCTACTGTACTTTTCTCTTCCGTACTATCTTCTTGGAAAATATTAATACCCGATTGTTAAGAATTTTTGTCTCTCTTTCTCTGTGTGTGTGTGTGTTTGTATGTGTATCCTATGTGTGCTTGCACTCGTGGTAGAGAAAGGAAAAGAAATTGTCGTTCGTTCGGTGCGAAGTGTTGTTTTCGCCAATTAATTCGTAACACAAAGTATATCGTGTATTATTATTTGGAATTTGTTAACGGAAGTATCCTTTGTCAATCGTAAGTATAAAATTCATTATTTTATGATAGACTTTTCAATCCTACGTGATCTATTTTTGACATCGACATTTTTGTCCTCCACAAGCTCGTACACAAATACGATTATGTTATGTTATGTTATTTATATATTTATTTGATTTGATTTGATTTGATTTTATTTTATTTTATTTTATTTATTTATTCGTTGTAATTATTTGGTTACACTCTGTTGGTTTTGGTTTCGGGAAGTATGATCGATGCATTTTTTAATATCTATGTGTTGTCTGTGTATATATATATTTTTTTTTCTTTTCAGTATTACATTATTTGTAGTATTTTAGCCCTCGAATTCGTTTGAAACATTCCTGTTTTTTTTTTTTTTTTTTTTTTTTTTTATTTTATTATTGTAATTATGGTTTTTGGTTTTGCGGTAAAAGTGAAACCAATTTTACTTTACTTTGGCCTAAATTTGTGCTGAAAATACGCGAACAATGTTTTTGAAGAGTGGGTGCGGGGGAGGGTCGAAATGAAATCGACGTTTAAAAAATACAAACAGTACGCGTGTACGAACTCGTACACGTGTGACGTAAAAAAAAGGATTAGAATTTAATTAAGAAATATCTAATTGTAAATGGCGAAATTTAACGAAAGACAATTGAAATCCTGTATTACAGATTGGGATCAATCCTGGACTATTTGCTGCATATAAGGGGCACCATTACGCCGGACCCGGTAATCATTTCTGTAAGTCAAGTTTAATATCATTTCTATTCTCGAGCTAATAATATTTATTCTTTTCTAAAAAAAAAATGCGAAACGTATTCAAAAATTCTTTCATCTGATTAGTCAAACAATTGCAATTTAGATAATATATCGTATCATTATTGCCAACATAATTCTTTTCTAACTAAAAATTATGAAACCAGATTGGATAGAGATTTAATGGGATTGACCAAAAGATTCCTTAGGCAAACAAAAAATGTTTCTATAGATCGTATGACAAATTAATATTATTATCTTTTTCGAAAATGTTCAATCGTGCGGATTTGCAATTAATGAAAAAAAAAAAACAAAAACAAAAAAAACAATTAATCGACTTTAAAAATCGTCCGAAAAAAAATATTAATTGAAAAATTCGTCGAAAGAAATTTTCGCGTACGATTCTTTAGATAAATAAAAAGAAAATGAAAGAGAAAAGAAGAGGGAGAGGGAGGAGGGAGAAAAAGAAAAATGGAAAGAGAACATCGTGGGATTTTATATATATATATATAAAAAAAGAAAAAAGGATAGAATAACCTGCGTCTGCCTCGTCATTATCTTAACCAAGCCGGAAATCACTTTTAATGAGCCCTCGCGCATTTCATGGGAGGCCAATAGATTAAAAATATTTTGACCGAATCGAAAGCTCCACCAGAGCGCTTTATCTGTAAAACGCTTCACTACGTATATACATTGAAAAGAGAAAAAGAGGAAGGGAGAGAAAGATAGAGAGGGATAGATAGAGATAAAGATAAAAAGATAAAGAGAGATAGAGAGTATAAACGAAGCTTTTGGTGGGCCTTTAATAAACAATTTTGCGTACTAACGGCCAGGGCAATGCCCATATCACACGCCCATATGCTACACGCACACATACACGTATACAAACACACATATTATATATATAATATATATATATAATATATAATATATATTTATATATATTATATATTCTCTCACATACATATATATATTATATATTTACACATACATATATATATATATATATATAAAGGCTAGTTTGCTCACATTATACATGATGCTTTACATACGTGCCTGCTTGCCCGTACTTTGTATGCATAGATGACACACATACGTGCGTAGATGGTAGAGAATAAGAGAGAGAGTAAGAGAGGGAGAGAGAGAATGTTCGCTCACGTTCATTCGCATACATTCGCCTGTAGTGAAGTTAGGTACACGCTCCTGGATTTTCCAGGGTTTTCCCGGGCTTGCGGTAGCATTGGGGATGGAGTAGGAGAGGCAGTGTGGGTGCGTGGATTCAAACGATGGCTGGGTGTAGAGAGGCGGGAAGTATGAAGGGATGGTTGGTCGTATGAGAGAGAAAGAGAAAGAGTGAGAAAGAGAGACGGCATATATATATATAAAATATATATATATATAGATAGAACTTGGTATATTGCTACCGTACATCTATATATATNAGAGAGAGAGAGAGATAGAAATCTAGTGTCCGTGCAAAAGAGAAAGGTATAGTGAGTGAGTAAGAGAGACGGAGAGAGACAGAGAGTATCCCTAGCCAAACGTGCGCCAGTTGCCGCAGCTTCCAACCTTTTTAACCCGTACTCGCCACCTGCATCCTCCCTTCGCCATACATTTCTACGCCCACAGCCGTTGCCATTACATCTCCTCACCCTCCCCCATTTTTATCCCTCTTTACCCCTCTCTCGCAATACTCTAGTATACTCTTTCTCTCTCTCTCTTGCTCTCTCATACATGCGTGTATACTCACACGTTAGCAATACACCAATCTCTTTCTATCTCTCTCACTCAAGTACATGCATACACATATACACTTACACATACGTTAGCAACGCACCAACTTCTCTTTCTCTCTTTTACACATACATACATGCATATATATATATATATGCATGTATGTATGTGTAAAAGAGAGAAAGAGAAGTTGGTGCGTTGCTAACGTATGTGTAAGTGTATATGTGTATGCATGTACTTGAGTGAGAGAGATAGAAAGAGATTGGTGTATTGCTAACGTGTGAGTATACACGCATGTATGAGAGAGCAAGAGAGAGAGAGAAAGAGTATACTAGAGTATTGCGAGAGAGGGGTAAAGAGGGATAAAAATGGGGGAGGGTGAGGAGATGTAATGGCAACGGCTGTGGGCGTAGAAATGTATGGCGAAGGGAGGATGCAGGTGGCGAGTACGGGTTAAAAAGGTTGGAAGCTGCGGCAACTGGCGCACGTTTGGCTAGGGATACTCTCTGTCTCTCTCCGTCTCTCTTACTCACTCACTATACCTTTCTCTTTTGCACGGACACTAGATTTCTATCTCTCTCTCTCTCTTTCTTTCTYTCTYTCTTTCTTTCTTTCTTTTTCTTCCCCTCCCCTCCCGTCCCCTCCCCTCTCGTCTCTACCTGCTACACGATAGGTCAGAACCGTTCGGATCAAGAACGACGACGACGACGACGACGACGACTCTATTTCTACGAAGCATCAAACCTAAATCTAACATAAGTCCATTTGTGGATTGTGTTTTGCTGGATTAACAGGGGCGAGGACTGATTTCTATGAAAAGGGTTATAGTGGTAATGATAGAAGTGTCAGTGTGGGATTGTGGATGCTGATGGTTTTAGTGTCGGTGTTGTTGTCGTCGAACCGCCGTCCTATGGTCGTCTAGTGATTAATTTTTTTTTTTTCTCAAGAGAGTGTGAGTGGGGGAGGGGAGGGTCTTTAGTGATATTTTAAAAATCGAATTCGCTTTTAACGGTCATCCATCGAACGACTTTTGATAAGGTTAGTAGTGTTACGTTTTATATCGATGGAATATTTCATGTGTATCTCGATAATGTGATTCATTGATTGATTTCTTTATACGGTGCCTAATATTTGTAGTTAAGAGATTTTCAGTTTTGTTGAAAAAAAAAAAACAAACAAAAATCGGAAAGTATTGAGATTCGTGAATATTTTTGTTAGAGATAAATAGAACGAAGTTGATCGTGCTGAGTTTGCATTTTGTTATTCCCTCACATCACCATGCTGCTGATAAGAATTTTGATTTTGTATAATACAAGCAAAGCTGAATCTTTCGTTCAGTACATAAATTCAGTTCCAGATTCTAAAGATTAATTTGAAAATTTCAACAAGTATTGCAATTTTTCTTATTGTTTTTCTGTTCTTCTCTCTCTCTCTCTCTCTCTCTCTCTTTCTCTTTCGCTTTCGAAAAAAGAGAAAATGAAAAGAAAGAAAAAATGTAGTTAACGATAATTTGGTATTCCTTGCTAGTTTGTAATACTGTGCCGAAAGTATACAGTTGACTTTATCCTGGCCCGATATAACTCGATCTACGGTGCCGAATGGAAGGTAATCAATTTCACGAGCGATACAAAATACATAGGTATTTATATGTATATATATATATAAACCTACACGCATAACACCAGATAAACCAAGTATTATCAACGCTGCATGTGATTTGTCGATTGGTCGTTAATTCGATCTCAAATGTCGAACAGATAAAACGATGATCGTTATTCAGTAATAACAATCACGGAGACGGAGAGGGGGTGGGGGGTTTCCTAACAACTTGGCGAAGAAAAGAAAAGAGGTTAAAACCCCACGGAACAAGAGAAAAAAAAAGAAAAAAAAGAAAAAAAGAGGGAAAAGGAAAAAAAGGGACTATAAAAAAAGATATCGAAAGTTTTGAGTTCATTGGTTGGTTGGTTGGTCGGTTTCAACAATAGAACGGTGTAGTAGTGGTGGTACGAAGGTATGTAGTTGCGTGGTGGTAGGGACACCTAAAGCAGCCAGCAGCAGTAGTAGCAGCAGCACCAGCAACAGTAATAGTTCAGTTCTTAGTTGTATAGCACGTAGTTGTCGTCGTATTCTTCGTCGTTGAAGAAAAAAAGTTTTCACCCTCGTTGGGGGATGACCGCGACGGCTTCTTTCCATCCGTTTTGCCGCCGTTCCTCCCCCTCCCCCTCGCACTCACCCTAACCCTCTCTCACTCTTTCCCTCTCGTTACCCCCTTTTTCTTCCTCCTCCTCCCCATACTTCTCCCCATACTCCTCCTCTTCCTCCATCTTTCATTTTACTCTCTCCCTCTCCCTCTCCCTCTCTCCTCCTCCTCCCTCTTTCTATCTTTTCGCGGAGTTCGCGCCGACAAGCAGAGGAGGGCACTCGGTCGACGACCCAATTCTTTCCTCGGCCTCTCTCGCGCGCACCGTGTTCTGCTGCTATATTTTACGAACGGCGAGAAAGTTGAACGTGACCGACGAAACTTTGTGCTGCATTGCCAAGGCGCCTCTTCGATCTCTCACGTGGAGAATTTCAAACCTACGGGGGATAGATCGATCCATCTTTCTACGATACCGTATGTGCATATAGATTTGTTTTATTTATTTATGTCTATATGGTTTTATCGATATATTATGTATAATATGATGGGTTATTATAATCTAATCTCATAAAATTGCATTCTCGTATACAAACGCATATTTACGTTCTAGTAATTTTAATTTTGTTTTTTATTTTATAATTATATAGAATTAAAAAGAAAAAGAAAAGTAAAAGAAAAAAAGGAAAGCAACGATTAAGCCCGCGTACGTTAATTTTTTACGATTTTGAAAAATTTAACTGAACGTATTTCAAAACACATTTTCATACAATAATTGATAATAATCATTCTAATTCCGATAATCACTAATTTGTTATATATACGTGCTTTTACTATATTTATTATGTCATAAAACGTGTGTGTGTATGTATTTTTACAAAAGAAAAAAAAGTAAAAAACAGAGACAGAGAGATAGAAAGAAAATAGAACAATTAGTAACAAAATCCACGAGAATACAATGACAAACGGAGAAGAAGAAAAGTGAGGGTGTCATATAGAAAGGTAAAAAAAAAAAGAAAAAAAAGATATTAAGGGAGAAGAAAGATAAAAAAAATAAGATGACATACATATATATATATATACTAGTCAAGCTCGGAAGTAGGATGATGGTAAAATGGTAGCCATAATGAGCATTGGCTGAAGACGAAGACGAAGACGAAGAAGAAGACAGAAGGTAAAGAATGAGGAAGAAAAGAAGAGAAAGTGGAAGAGAAATAGAGAAGAGAGAAGGTGAATGAGAAAAGAGGAGAGGGGGCTTGAATAAAGGGTGAAACTATTTCGGCGAAGGGCTCCCTGGTAAAAGGAAAATAAGAAGAAGAAGCAGAAGAAGCAGAAGAAGAAGAAGAAAGAAAAGATAGGTAGAAGAAAATGGAGGAAATAGGAAAAGAAAAAAAGATGAGTGTTGCCTTCTCTTCCTACTGACTATCCCTGAATAAAAAGACAGAGAGAAGGAGAGGGGGTGGGAGAGGGGGGAAAGGGAAGAAGAGTGACGCACAAGGATAGGCAAAAGGTCCAAGAGAGGAAGGAAAGGAAAAGGATGGAGAGATAGGGTTGGGAAGAAGGTTCGTGGGACCAGACGGGGTGGAAGGGGGGAAGGGGAGGGGGAGAAATGTCGCACGTCTATCCGCTCGATAGCAGCTTACAGTCCGTGCACGTTCCCTGTGCTTCTAGGATCTCTTCTACTATATACCAGTACCCTTCCCCCCTTTCCCCCCCCCCCAACACACACCATCACACCAACCCTGAACCTCCAACTTTTACAGATTTTCTCTTGCAAGATGTTACCTCTAGGCCAGATTTATTTTTAACTAGAAAGAATCATGACCGTCATCATCATCATCGTCGTCCTCGTCGTCCTCGTCGTCGTCGTCGTCATCGATTTTAGTTCATTTTACTTTTTCGTGATCGTGCATAATGAAAAAAATCATTTGCATCTATGTTAGTTGTATAACAGAGAAATAGAAGTGATGATGCTATTCTTAAAAATCATTTGAAACAAATTTTGCATGAATTAAAAACTTTGATGCGAAAGTAAAAAGTATATTTAGATATCTTTTTAATAATCCAAAGAGATCTTTTTCAAAGACAGTTATATTCGTTTACAATTTGTTTTACATACGGAACGCGAGTTAACAGGTGATCTTAAGAATCCAATTAATTAAATCTTTTCCCCGAGTTTTATGAATTAATTTATTTGTAAACTGTGTTGATTTTAACATCCAGTCAATGAATTTTGAGCTTAATTTATATCAATTACAACATCACTATAATGATAAAGCAATAATTGGTATAATACCACGATAAGTTATCATATCATTTTTCCAGATCAAAAATGACGATTATCATTTTCATAACACAGGAAAGAAAAAAAAAGATTATAATTCTAATGTTGGCTCAACTGAATCGTGTTCTATAACCTAATTTTTGTATATTTATAATTACAACTAACGACACTGAGAACCCTCGCAGAACGAGGGTTCTCATTCCTGATCCAGATTTATGATCTTAATATCCTAATTCTAAGTTGTACATGCACATACGCATATACATATCTTTACTTTACTTATATATATATATATATATATATATTGTAAATGAAGAACGTCCAGCATGATCATCGAAGTAACATAAAAAGGAAAAAAGAAAAACCGAAAAAAAAAACAAAGAAAAAGACAAAAAAAAAAAAGCGGTGAAAATTGATTTTTCAGGCGCGGTCCGCGCTTTTCACGCTCTACTCTCCTCTCTTCTCCTCTCTCATCGATTTTCACCTGCTCTCTCTCTCTCCTCCTCCTCCTCCTCCTCCTCCTCCTATCACGACCCTTCTCCTCCTCTTCCTCGTCCTCCTCCTCTTCTACCTTCTCTTCCTCCTCTGCGTTTCATCCCTCATCTACGACCTACAAAGTATACCTACGTTCGTTCATTCGTTCGTTCGTTCGTTCGTTATTACGTACGTACGGGATTCGATGTAAAAACGTTGCTAAAAATGTAGGTCGCCATTTAATTCGTTTAACATTTCTTAAGATAATCTCCATCCTATTTTATCGACCGAGAAAACAAACACCACCATCGAGAATTGATTCCCAATAATTATATTCCTGATTTACCTACCTTTTTTCAAAAGCTCAAAACAAAGAATAAGTGTTGGAAAGGAGAGAAAGAAAGAAAGAGAGAGAGAGAGAGAGGAAGTATAACGTAATGATCGTTTGAAACTTTTGAAAAAAAAGAAAAAAAAAGAAGAAGAAGAAGGAGAAAACTTCGTTTGGAGGAGTTAGGTTTAAGTCAAGTTAGGGTTGCGTTTCGGAATAATGAAGTAGGGGATTTTACGTTCCAATGAACTTTCCTAACAATGATCGCCCATTTTTCTTTTTTAGAATCTTGTACAGTACAGGTCGAGGAAGAAGGGTTAAAAGTTTCGAAATGATTTTTTAAAAACTATTTCGATGTCTCTACATTCTCTCTACATTCCTCCCCGTGTTGTGTAGAAAAGTATACAAGGTTTGGAATTTACGACAAATTTTGTAATATGGCCACAAGGTTATCTTATGCTACTTTCTCTGTTTGTTTTGTCTCTTTTTTATCGTTCGAAAGGACAAATACCAAATACCTTCCAATGTGGAAATCGTAAAAGCGACCTTCTTTTCCTTTCTTTCTTCTTTTCTTCCTTTCTTTCTTCTTTTCTTCCTTCCTTCCTTCTTAACTTGAAAAGTGCACATGTTGCGTTCGAAAGCGTGTAACGGTCACGGACGAGCGTTCAACTTTGTTTCGAAGTTCTCCAAGGTCGTGCTATATAAGCTTGTAGTAGGTCGTCGTAGTAGTTGCCGCCATCGTCGTCGTCGTCCTCGTCCTCGTCCTCGTCCTCGTCCTCGTCCTCATAGTTCTCGTTGTCGTCTGCTACTTTGTCCAGAAAGAGAAATAAAGAGATAAAGAATAAAGAAATAAAGACAGAAAAACCGAAAACTACCGACGAAGACCGAGGGAGAATATAGACAAACCGAGAACCACCGAAAAAGCTCGAAAGAGAAAGAGATACGGATAGAGAAACCGAGAATTACCGGAAAAGCCCGAGATAGAAAGAGATGGTAGATATGCCGACATAATGGCCGCCAAACTGACCGACCAAGAAAAATCCCGAAAATATATCTTATATATCACCTTCTTCTTAAAAGATAGTCGAACTAACGTGAAACATAATATTACGTGATTTTTCAAAACCAATCCAATATTGTTTCTGACATTTTTTTTTTATCGGATTTGCAAAACCATAAAAGATAAGCTTAATTTAAATTAGTTTGTAAAAGAGTGATTTAGTTGTAAAAAAAAAAAACGTCCAGGGTCTTTTGGTCCATCCTAATTTTGCTTTAAGTTGAAATGAATTGCATCGTTCGATCGCGAAGCCATTATTATTATTATTATTATTATTATTAGTATTTATTATTATGATTATTATTAATATAAAAAAAGGGGATCATACGTGTATCTTGGTAATATGTAAATGGCTTTTTAATCGTTCTTTGATTGATATTAATAGATACCATTCTCGTAAAATAGATTGGAGGGATGAGAGAGAATGGCACACGAGCGAGAGTGCGCGCGTTTTTAAAATACAATGGCTTTAAAAATAAACCTATGTTATTTTATCACGTTTTCTTCTTTTTTCTTTTTTTTCATTTTTTTTTCTTCCATTTTTTTTTTACAGGGAAATGTTTACACCTCAGTGGACTAACGCCTGAACCGTTGACCGCCGACGATGACTACAAATTATTACGACTTGGCATTGGTTTCACGAATATGGTGGCACGTGCCACTAAAGGCAGCGCTGATCTTACGAGAAAAGAAATTAAAGAAGGTTAGTTAACATGCATATTTATAAAATTAATACACACGCACATTCAAGTTTCTAAATAATTTAATTATTTTCTTCTTCTAATGTTTGTTACTCTTTAATCGATTTTGAACCGTGCATTGAATTGTTCGAGCGAGGAAGTATGCATACACTTTACATAATTGGATTGTTTTAATGGGGCCCCATCAAATTTGTTACGCCCTGGGGCCCTTCAATGTTAAATTCGTTATTGAGCCGGAATAAAGAGCTTGGAGTAAGAAGAATAAGCTAAAAAGTAAGAAAGATGAATTTCAAGGAAACATTTTTGCAGTAATTTACTTTCTTCTTGAATTTGTCATTTTGTAGAAACATTATTTTCGAAAGGTTCAAACCCAAACGTTTAAACGGTAAAATCTAGTCGATTTATTACTTGGAGTAACAACTTTGTGCAATATTTTCTCATAAAAAAATCATTTAATCGAATCAGATTCAATTTTTCCAAGTTCAAAATCGATCTTTATGATAACGATCCTTCAAATGAAAATATGTTATATCAAATTGTTTTTTTATTTTATTTTATTTAATCACTTTCTATTGAGTTTTATATTAAAATTATACACCCTGTATTTGAAACAATATAATACAATGTGATAGTGCAAGAAATAAATATTTTTATACAGAAGAAAGAATCATCAACTATAATAGTTGAATCAAAGAACGATCGTCGTATGAGAAGATATTTCATTAACCAATCGCGTTGATAGGTTGCAATGTACCCTGGTGTAAATTGAATGATTTTGGATTATTCACTCTGCATTGAACATAATTGATAAATTACTGATCCTAATGTAGGTAGTTTACCGAAGCTAATTCCATACACATATACACATACATACACATATATATATATATATATATATATATATAGATATATTGAAAGTGGAATATTAATTGGCACTAGTAAACGTATCGATTTTAAACGATGAAAACTTCTGTATACTAATGGAGTATGGGTACACAATATGTCGTGTGTTATCTGATCGAATTGAAAACATTTTGGTGCTGAAACCAGTTTTTTGTTCAACAACCATTTTTCTTTTTTCTTTTCAACAGGTAGTCATATCTTGTTAGAGAAGTTGCGAAAATACAAGCCAAAAATCGCAGTGTTCAACGGGAAATTGATTTACGAGGTCTTTTCGGGAAAGAAGGAATTTGGATTTGGTAGACAACCAAACCTCGTGGAGGGTACTAATACGGTAAGGATTGTTTGTTAGTTTTATTTTCATTTCTTCTTCTTCTTTTTTTTTTCTTATATTTGATTTAATTCATTCAAATGTGTATTATATATAAATATGTTACAATATTTTGTACAATATATTGCAGTACATGTGGGTGATGCCTTCGAGCAGTGCGAGATGCGCACAATTGCCGCGCGCAGCTGACAAGGTGCCATATTATGCAGCTCTTAAGAAATTCCGTGACTTCCTCAACGGTACGATCTCGCATTTGGATGAGTCAGACATCGTTTTTGCCGATTCGAAACTTAAGAAGAAAGAACAAGACGCGATCGAAGATAAGAAGCCAATCTTTTCAGACGATCTGACGCACGACGGTGATGGAAAGATGACGGAAATGAATGGGACGTCTATAAAACAGGAATCAGGTTTGATACCGGGCAAAAAGAAAAGAGGCAGACCTAAAAAGATAAAAAATCCGGAAGATCAGCCGCCCCCGGATCTTGAAAAATTAGATGCCAATGGGGAAGTAATTAAGAAACGTCGAGGAAGGCCGAAGAAAATTCACCAGCAGCAAAAACAACAGGAACGGGAAAATAGAGAAAGGGAACAGCAGCAACAGCAACATCAAGTTATGAGTCATTTGAATAATGCTTACAACAGTGGCGTACCAAATTGTTTTTCACCGCCACTGATGTCACCTCCGAAACCTTTCGCCCATATGGCACCATACCCGCAACAACAAATGAACGATACCGGTTTCTTTGGGCAGGGTATGAACGACACGCCCTATAACATGAGCGCGAAACAAAGTCCTGTACATTTGCAACATTACAGCCAAAGTCCCAAATCGATGACTCTTTCCTTCACGCATTCTGATCTATCCTCGGAGATAAACACCGCAATCTCGTCGGAAAATAATTTGGAACCATCCCCGTTAACGTCGCCAAGCGTAGATCATCCAGATTTCGAGCCACCAACAAGTATGTCCCAACAAAATATGGGTAATGATCACCGGCAATACAATGCATCTGGTAACGGCGATAATCCGAGTCATCATGGTAGTCCGGGAACACCATCGCACGGTGGATATACGAGTTACATGGGTTATCACGATCAAACACCGGATCCTCACAATCCGCATCAAACAACGTCGACGCCTCTGAGCCAGTGCGCTGATGAGCATTCCCATCACTCCCATCAGACACCGCCGCATACCCATCCGCACACCCCGACTCATTCTTCGATGTCGCCTCATCACCATCCGCACGAGCAATACGGAATGAAACGGAACACGGGACAAGACGTGGCATCAAAAAGTCTAAGCGATCTTGAATCTTTGGTCGATCAGATACCAAGTATAACCGACGGCGGAAATCAACGTCTTCAGCACTCGCATCCAAATATGTCGGACGATTCGCTCGTCGAGAAAATGGACGGACATCATCAGTCATCCTATTTACCAGGTTTCGGTGGTATGCCCGTAAGCGGTATGTCAAATTACAGTCCACCTTTACCACCTGGTAGTAGTTTATATCCAGGCTCGTTACATCATTCGCCTGGAGATGGTTACGGTGGTCTATATGGTATGAACAGTCGACATCATGCGGAATCTCAGCAGCAACAACAACAACAACAACAGCAGCAGCAGCAACAACAACAACAACAACAACAACAACAGCAGCAACAACAACAGCAGCAGCAGCAACAACAACAACAACAACAACAACAACAGCAGCAACAACAACAGCAGCAGCAGCAACAACAACAGCAACAACAACAACAGCATAGTAAATCGTACACGGTCGAGAATCTAGCATCGAGCAACTACACACCTAGCATGGGTCACGCTCATCCCGGAAACTCTTACCCAAATATTATACCTGCACCTCATTATCCCGTACCAATGGGCTCGACTAACGGCTATCTCTTCGGTGGCCTCGAGTCCAGCCTGATGCAACGTACTTACGGGATGAGCGGTATGAGTGGCATGGGCGGAATGCACGCTTCCCTCGGCCACGTGGCTAATCCGTATTCGTATAACAGTGCTGCGTACACGGGTACCTTTGATAGCTTTTCGGCGCCACCAGCGGGTATTCACGCGCCCAGTGCAAATTATCCTGGGTATGTCGGGGCGGGTGGCGCCACGCCTGCTACCGCCACTTCGCCACCTTATCTCCCGTCGCATCATAGGCCACCAGTTGACCTAGCCTACGACGCTGTATGATAATCGATGTAAAGCTGTTGATGATGATGATCGCCTCATCGCGTATCGATATTATCTTTTCTACGTATTTTTACACGTTTAGAATTCGTCGGCATTGCCGTCTCTCTCTCTCTCTCTCTCTCTCTCTCTCTCTCTCTCTTTTTCTCTCATTCTCTCATTCTCATTCTCTCTCATTCTCTCTTCCTATTCTTTCTCTATATCTATCTCTTTCTAATATGAGTCACGTCATGCATAACATTGCATACTTGCGTAAGAAGACCTATATTTAATAACCCTCGCCTATTGGATCGACGTTCTTATCCTACTGACTACTGCTGTCATCTTTTTCATCGATCGACCTATTGGAATGGAACTGCATGTTTCCTAGTTAACATACGCAATGTTCTCATAAACCAAATGTTAAGTTTTAGTCTTTCTTACTTTTTTCTTTCTACGGCACTACCCAATCATTAACCCAATCGCACATTAGAATTATAATTCATTTCTATATAATAACTAAAGAACACAGAATTCCTAAATCCAATTCCTAAAAACCCCTATACTACGCATTATACAGTTCATTTGATACGTCGGTTGTTTTCATATCTGACTCTCCTTTCTTCTCAAAATATCTTTCTTTCTATTCGTTTCTTCCTTTTATCTTTCTCACATTCTCTCTTTCTCTTTCTCTCTCTTTCTCTCTCTTTCTCTCTCTTTCTCTTTTCGCAACTTTCGTTACATTTTACATTCGATATTCCACGAGAAAATATAAGAGAAATACAACAAAACAAACAAACAAACAAACAAATAAACAAACAAATAAAAATACAATGTGGAAAAAAGAAACCATAACGAAAAAAAGGGTCATTAAATTAAACGCGCGCAGTCCGGGAAATGAAAAGAAAATGCTCGTTTTTAAATGTCGGCCACGAATGGGCGCGATGACTATCGAAAAAGCATAGTCCTCCTTAAAAAAAACAAACAAATCAACGGAACAAACCTATCGAAAAAACGGAAAAAATAACGGAGAATTGATATTTGAACTAGAACAGCGACGATATATAATTATGGCGATTTTGAACAATGAAGAATTATTAAAATCATGACTATGGATAACCGAACACCATAGGCTTTTTATTGAGCATAATAAAAATAATAATACAAATAAATAATAATAATGATGATGATGATGATGTTGATGATAATGATGTGACGATAATGACGATGATACTAATGTAATGATCACTATTATAATGATTATGATGATAATAATGATGATGATAATGATGAGATAAGAATTATCGTAATGATTACGACAACCATGATGATATGGACGATAATGATAATGATGATGATGATAATGATTATGATGATGATTATAATGATGATGATAATGATGAGATAAGAATTATCGTAATGATTACGACAACCATGATGATATGGACGATAATGATAATGATGATGATGATAATGATTATGATGATGATTATAATGATGATGATAATGATGATGATTAAGAGATAATTTTGTTATATATTTGTTATTTGTGGAAAGCTGGATCTCTCAATCTATCTCTATTTCTCTTTCTCTCTTTTTCTTAATTATCGTTGCAATATTGGCTAGTTTAGAATTGGAAAATTAGGTTAAAATAGATAAGGTTAGATTAGTCGATCAGTTAAATAACAATAATTGCAATAAGTTGTCGGACATTTCTTCTTACCCCATTTTTTCTTTTTTTGTTCTTTTATTTTGTTAATAATCAATTACATATTAAAAATAAATGGGATGTGTTTTGTTTTGATGTAATTGATATATACAAATATATATATATATATATATATATAGATATATA